TGACAGACAGAATGAGGTTTTTGTGAAGAGTATGTATTTAAATATTGATCAGAAACTGCTAAGAGGTGCTACTATTGATCAACCTGTGCAGCAAACAATAATATGCATGTAAATAAGTGACAGAAATCAAATGTTCAGTGTTCAAAATGAGCAGGCTGTGAACAACATGTGGACTTTGTCTCCATCTTGTGACGTTTACAGGAAGTAAAATGTGTCCATGTGAGCTGGTTGTGATTATTGTTCCTTGTAATTAGTCACATGACTATTTGACAGATGTATGTAAAGTAAGTGGAAACAACCTCAGACACATCATTCAGAATAAAAGCTGCTGGTGATTTAATTACACATCATGTGAAGCAGCATCCATCTGATGAACATTTTATAAAGATACAGTTGATTCAATACAGAAAACATATTAAACTAAATTGTACTGCTGGTGTTTCATTAATGTTGATCACAAACTGGTTGACCGAGGTTTGATTCAAACAGATAAAAAGAACATTACAACAATCTAAACGAGAAGAAATAAAAGCGTGAATAATCATCTCCATCTCGGCCTTGATGACAACAGATCTTAATTTAGCAATGTTCCTCAATTGGAGAAAACATGAACGAACAAGCTGGCTGACATGGTTGTCAAGAGACAGAGACTGGTCAAGGATGACACCTAAGTTATGAAGGTTGTGTTGAATACAAACACTTAAAGACCCTAACTTCTGTTTAGTGGACGGAATCAAAATTTCAGGAGCAATTATAAGAGCTTCTGTCTTATTTGAGTTTAACTGGAGGCAACTGTCAGCCATCCAAATCTTGATAGCATCCAAACATTCATTTAAAATGGACAGTTGGCCACTCTCTTCAGGTTTGAAAGAGTAATACAACTGAATATCGTCAGCATAAAAGTGATAAGAAATACCACTACAATGGCTAATGATCTGTCCAAGAGGCAGTATGTACAAGGAAAACAACATGGGACCCAAAATAGAACCATGTGGGACACCACATGACAGAGGAGCTGTGTCTGACATGAACTGACCCACAGAGACAGAAAAACTCCTTTCAGTGAGGTAAGAAGAAAACCAATCCAGGGCAGTTCCAGAAATCCTGATTGCAAAGAAGCATACAGACATTGGGTCTCATTAATGAAAAGTGAGTAAATCTGTGTGTAGATTTGCACATAAAAGCCTACTCTACTAAAAACCTACTCCGGATTCAGGAACGCTGCAGGAAACTCAGATTTGATCGTAAACACGTGTGTATGATCATGAATGCCAATCCATCGTAAAGTGACTGCGTGCTCCTGGTAATCAGCAATTATCATAAATCCCCGCCCATGAATAGCCAGTCGCCACCATATAAGAAGGTGTAGGTGCATCCAGTCGACCTGTCAGTCATGGCGCAAACAAAGAAAGAGAGAGAAAGAAAAAAGAATTTTTCCGAAGCGGAGATCGAAATAATTTTGGGTGAAGTGGACTTAAGAAAAAACATTTTATTTTCTTCAGTTAGTAGTGGTGTGACAGGGACAGGCAAAGCGAAGGCCTGGAGGGAGGTAACATATGCTGTTAATGTTGTCTCTGTAGTACAAAGAACCATGTCAGAGGTGAAGCGTAAATGGTTTGATATGAAACTGGAGGCAAAGAAACACATAAGCACACACACAAAAATACAGCAGCCACAGGAGGAGGAGGCTCACAGTCACAACTATCTGCTGCAGACGAGCGCATCGCTGACATAACTGGGGAGACCCCTCTGTCAGGAATTATTCCTGACGGAGACAGCGACAAGCCTAATACATTCTGAAAATCATCATTGATAGCGCAGTGGTCAACAAACAAACAGAAGATTCATTTGTGGGGTTTTGAATGAAGTGGGAACGGGAAAGCAGAGATGTTTTGTGCGTAATGGATAAACTCTAAATCAGTGATGGCTGTCGGAATGTAGAGCTATTTAACATTTATTTTAACAAATGATACGGATAACATATAGCCTACAGCAGTTTGTATGCATCGTCTTCAAATTATTTGAATCTTAATAGCCTAAAGCTCTGTTTTATACAACGTAAATTAAACATTTTCAAATCAGATTTATTCATTCAAATGATCAAAAAGCCACAAAAAAACAAAACAAAACAAAAACACGTGTTGTCTCAAATAATTCTTTCAGCTGCCGATGATGAACCCAGGCACCGAGGCCGAAGAGGCTGTGATCTGGCTGTCCTTATGGATATTTTTATTATCATCATTCAACATGTAGAAAGAACGTGTAATCTATTGAGTCGATTTACAGAGATAATTCACAATCATGAATCTAATCTAAATCTTAAACCTGCTAATTGCCAACTAATGTAACTAAATGTGTTATATTTTTAATATTTTGTCATGTTTAGATTACGTGTTTCAAAGGCATCTGTGTATTGTGTACATAACAGAGCGCAATATGACTTAAAATTGTAATTTCCAATAGTGACAAGCAGTATTTATGTGCTTTACTACATTTATACAAGCACTACGAGTGGTCAGGAGCAGGAGTAGATTTTGTCAGTAGCTACGAAAAGATCGGAGCTACTAAAATATTTATGAATGCGGACATGCATGTAAATTTACGTCTGCGAACAGTTTACACACAAATTCCTTCTGCTCACGTTTCATGAATGAGACCCCATGTGTTTCTAAAACAGCTGTAAGATGAGTGGCAACAACTTTTTCCAGCAATTTAGATATAAAAGGCAGCTTTGAGATTGGCCGATAGTTTATGGGGTGGGTGGAGTCAAGATTTGTTTTTTTCAACAAATGCTGAACGATTGCATGTTTAAACTGGCTAGGGACAGAGCCAGTTGAAAGGGAGAGATTAATCATGTCTACAATAGTGGAACCAATTGAATTAAAGGGATGTCAGGTGGGCCAGATGAGGGCTTAACTTTGTGCAATAATTTAGTGACGTCCTCTACAGAAACAGGAGAAAAAGAGTGCAGAGTTGTGTCACAGGGAACACCAATGGAAGGTCAGTTTGATGATGGGGGAATGTTTGCTCTGATATCACTGACTTTGTCCACAAAGCAGTCAAGAAAATTATTTCAGTCAGTGTCTGATACAACAGGCACCTTTGAAGTGGTAGGGGAGACAATCGAGTTTATAGTCTCAAACAAAACTTTTGAATTTCCTTTCTTAGATGAAATAATGTTGGCAAAATAAGCAGTCCGAGCAACCCTTATCATTTCATTTAAACTGATTAAAAGTTCTTTAAGATGCAACCGATGGACCTCTAGTTTGGTGGCTTTCTATAAACGCTCTGTCTTCCTACAGTTTCGCCTAAAACTGCGGATAGACTCATTAATCCAAGGCGAGGATTTAACAAAGGAAATTGTTTCAGATTTAAAAGGAGCCACTGAATCCAACACAGAGGAGGACTGTTTATTAAAAAGCTGGACCAAGGTCTCCACATCATGACAGTCTGACAGCACATCAGGGTCAAATGAAACTAAATTTTCAGCTGTACTTTGGTTAATGATGCGCCTACGAGACATGTGATTTGGGGGTAGCAGATCCATGCAACAGCAAACATCAAAAGAACACACTTATGGTCACTGACAAGGTAATCCTCCAGACGAACATTCTCGATAGTTAAACCAAAAAAAGTCCAGAGTATGCCCTGCTCTGTAGTATGTAATGCAGTTTGGGTATTAGAAACACATCTTTCTGGATTAACTGTGTATTGTCTTAATTATCCCAATGACATGGAGACAAACAGTGAAGTCAGAGTAAAGTCTTCACTAACACCAACATGTCTGAACATCACAGAGAAATCTCATTTTGACACATTTTGATATCAGCAGTTTTAGCATCACCAGCTTTTTTTATATTGAAATATGGGAAGAGTTTCTCAGTGAAAGTGTCTCTGTGAGTGTAGATGTGAGTCATGTCTTCAGGGTCGTAGAAGGACACCTCCCCCCTGTCATAGTCCAGCTGGACTCTGATCCTCTGGAGACTCTTCTTCACTGTGACAGTCTTATCAACAACATCAGTGTATTTTCCACTGCGATGCTTTACACACCAGACTCCATCTTCTGGTGAAGCATATGTCTCTCCCTTCCTGTCAACTGACTCTTTGGCCAAACCTACTCTCCAGTTAGGATGGTCTTCCACCTCCACCTCCCAGCTGTGTTTCCCTGAGCTGAAGCCCTCAGAGCCCAGAACAGTGACATACTTAGTGTGTCTCTCTGGATTGTCAGGAAGCTGCTGCTTCGTGTCTCCACGTCTCACACTGGTCAGATCATCAGACAGATAGAGACGGGGGTTTGCAGTGTTTGGGTCCAGAATGACAGGACTGAAGTGGACCTTGTCCTTCATCTTCTCCCAGACTCTGAAGGACAGGTTGCCCAGGTGTTTGGCCACATCTATCAGCGCTCCTGAGACCAGCTGTGGATCTGACAGTGAGCACTGGACTCTGGCTCTGCTCTGAGTGGCTTTATAACTGCTGAGGAATGGCACCTTGTGTTTCTGCAGCTCTTCTTCAACAGCACAGATACTGTGTGACAGAGAGGAGATCTGCTCCTCAATCATCTTCATCTCTCTGCTGAGAGTCTTCCCCTTCTGCTCCTCTTCCTCCCTCAGAGCTGCCAGTCTGGACTCCTCTTCCTCTTTCAGGAACTGCTGGAGCTTGTTGAACTCTGCTCTGATCTGCCTCTCTGTGGACAACAGCTGCTTCTTGGAGTGTTCAATCACTTCATTGTATGTTTCCTCCACTTGTTTGTATTTGTTCCTCTTGTCCTGCAGAGACTTTAAGTCAGATTTCAGCTGGTCCTTCAGCTCACTGACTGCTTGTTCTATAGGAACCACCTTGTGACCGTGGTGGAGAGAAAACTCACAGACAGGACACACAGCTCTATCTTCATCCTTACAGAACAATCTTGGCTCTTCTTGATGTTTACTACACACCACCTCCTCCTTCTTCTCTCCTTTTTCTGTCTCATATGATCCAGTTTTCTGTCTTCCAGCAAAGGAGTCAGCCAGTTCCTTCAGTCCAAAGTTCACTCCTAGATCTTCTTTTGAGGATTTTCTTTTACAAATGGGACAGTTTTTGTTTTTAGCTTGCTCCCAGAATTTCTGCAGGCAGCTTGAACAGAAGCTGTGGTTGCAGCTCAGAGACACAGGATCTCTGAAAGTCTCTGAACACACATGGCAGCTCAGGAAACTTTCAACAAGAACAAACTTCTCCACCATTTTCTCTTTTTTTCCAAATTGTTTTTAAATGAAAGACTCACCAAATTTTATGTCCCTTAAGTTTGTGTCTTAATGTCCCCCAAATGTCCACTATTTGATAGAGATCTCCCAGAGTGTAATGACGACGTGGTTCTGTTCAGCAATGTCAGACTGTTTTTATTAGTTAATCATTGACAGTAATAAACACAGCTATCTGTTTTTATGAGTAGGAGTTAGAGCAGGATACTTAACCGCACCTTCAGAATTTTTTAACCCCTCTCTCTTCATCTGTGTGATGATCTGAGCAGTGTCAAGAAAAAAGAGTTAAACACTCTGACAGGAAGGTGAATACTTTTATAGGCTACCTCTGCAATTTTGCAGCTGATGTTTCATGTATAACAATTTAAATGTATTTTACATTGAAGAAAAAAAACTGTTGGAAACACTGATTAAAAAAGTAGACCTCTTTTGAAGTTAATCTTATTCATGACTTAATGTGAATGTGCCTGTGTGTGCATTAAACATTTTCATACAGAGTACATGAAAAGATATTTTCATAGCTTTTATTACTTCAGTGCCCCGTGATATCTGCTGTTTACAGCAGCACCCTGTGTGACAGGTTTTTTATTAACTGACCTTTGGATTCAAAGTTTTATTGGTATATGTCCTCCCTTGTAATTTAAGGTCTTTTGTTATTCCCAAAGGAAAAGGCTCACACAAATCTTTGTGGTACTAAATAATTTAAAAAATGCACTGATGTCCTTTTTTCACTTTCTTTATTTTTTTATTGCAAAACCCCTCACAACTATGAAAAATACAGAAAACTAAATACTGTATCTGCTGTTACTGAAATCATGTAAGAAGTACCAAAGACTGTGCAAGATCATAATAATATATTACATAATGTCAGTATTTATTGTCAGGGAAAATCATGTATCAGTGATGCTCTAAGGAGTAACCAACAGCATTACAGTTGATTCAATCCCCAGAACCTTAAATGTGTGTTTGTGTGTGTGGGACAAGTACATTAAGAAATGCTTTTTAATATGTGAATGAAGGAACAGGCAGTCAGTGGAATTAAACTCACTTCTGTTGAACACACGGACAGCCTCCAAGAAAAGGGCAGGCTTTATTTCCCCTTGTGGAGGTAAAGAAATAGGGCTTATGTCCACACACAAATGGAGCGTGTATATGGGACAGGATAGACATTATTGTCCCAGTAGAAAAAAAAAAAAAAATATATATATATATATATGTATAACAACAGTAAAAACAACAATACATACATCCAAATACAGTAAAATACAACAAATACATGCATCTATAAATTGCACATGCCGATCTGTATCATCATGAAAAATGCACTCAAATCATAGCTCTCTGACGGACTTCAGTTGATCTTCATCAATAACTGTGAAACCCCCACTGCTCCCCTCCCCCAGGGTGTCCCCCAAGGTTAAGGTGGTGAATAGCGGGGTGAGGAAGAAAGTTACCGACTGAGTGTGAAATGTTCTGTCTTCCTGACTGAACTTTCGCTAGAGCTTCATTTGAGCTAACACACCCCTGGGCCGCTTCAGTGCTAATGGTTGTGAGCTACTACCACTTAATTCCAAGTAATGATGAATGGATTGACACTGGACTGATTTTATGTGTTGAATAATATGTGTAACTGCAAGGTATTAAATTGAGAGATAAAATCAACAAAAAATAGTCTAGCACTGGCCTCTGATTCCTCCAGGTGCTTAGTGACTATATGCACTCGGCTATTAATTGATTGCATCATTGGTACATCTATGTCGTGTGTATATCTAAACATGTGCTGCACTGCATATGAATATTACATGTAAATGCATTATGGAAGCCATCAGGCATCATGTATTAGTCTGATATGGACAAACAAACAAAAAACAGACATAACTAGAAAAGCACTCAGAGTGCAGACCTCCGCCAAGTAGGTGATATCCCCCCCATCTGCATTGGATTTTGCAGCCTGCATCACAATTAGGTTATATATGCCTTCACCATGGAGACACTGTGGTGTATTTATGTCGTTTTTATTTTGTACATAATAATAATACATAACATTTGTATATAATATGTTTTTTTTGTATTTTTCACTTTCTTTTTTTCCAACACAGAACATTAATTTCAACTTTAGAACAAGCCCAAGTAGGCCAACTCGCCACTGCCAACTGGTGGCACCGTCTGGTCATGGAAGTAGTCTAAACTCGGTGAATACACAGTACCCTTTAGCGCTATTTTATTATTTTATCCACTTTGCTTCAACTGATCACCACCAAAATTGTATCATCTGTTCCTTGTCCCATTATCCACCTTTCCTGAAAATTTCATCAAAATCCATTCATAACTTTTTGAGTTATTTTGCAGACAAACAAACAGACAAACAGACCAATGCCGGCGAAAACATAACCTCCTTGGCAGAGGTAATAACATTTTGCAGATCATTACTGAGCTGATAAGCTCATTTATTAAATCAGTCAGTTATTACTGAACCAAATGAAAGCTTGACAGTCATTAATGTTAACAGAGTTCTAACTGAGTCACAATTTTAGTATTTTAACTGCAGAAATGTCTCCATAAATGCACTCAACATTAAAAAAAAAGACTGTTTAATGTCACATTTTCCTGGATTGCCTGCATTCGGGAACTTTTCCTGCAACGCCTACATCTACAACACGCAAATACTGGAAATAATTTTTACTGAATCAATAATTAGATGACTACTTTATCCATACACACTGAAAATCACAGTTTTTAGTCCAAATAATCAATTTGATTGAGCAGAAACTGAGCATCAACTTTAATCACTAAAGGTCAACAACAACAAGATTCTTATCTGCTGTGAAGTTTCTTTTTAACATTGTGTTACAGCGCAATCATTGCTCCGCCCGGCTTAATCCTGGCAAGGTGCTGTAATTACAGTGAGTCCAAACTGGTAGAAAAGATTCCTGCACACATTTACATCTTTGCTGTGTTTCACTTTATTCTGGGGTTTTTAATCTATCAGACCTTCATCAGAGCATACATGTAAAGCACCTCATAGAACACCTTTCTGTTCCACTGATGTTCTGCATTGCAGGTTATTACACAGAAACTAAAAAGCTCATCTGTTATATCAGCATTAAAAATCTACTCACATATCTCACTCCACGTACTGAAGGGTGACCACAGTAGAGAAAAAACAGCAGTAGTAGAGAAAAGTATTAGTTACGAAAGAAGTACAAACTTGTGATACTTGCACTTTTTATATTTTATACTACTTTACAGTTGTACTCCGTTACATTGCAATGGAAAAATATTGTAATTTTACTCCACTACATTTTATGATACAGCTATAGTAAATATTAAGATCAAGATTTTAGACATCACACATAGTTAGTTTGTAAAATATGCATTGTTATAGATGAAACTACCCAACAGACTTGCTAAAATTATGTTTTCTGCCTTGGCAACATTTAGAGGCTGCTCAGATGGTAATGAATCGGGAATAAAATCCTACTGATAAAAACATAAATGTACGACACTATGAATGAAGTCATTTTGCATCATGAGTATTTTTACCTTTGATACTTTAAGTACAATTTGCTGGTCATATTTCTGTCATTTAATTAAGATTTTTGATGCTGGACTTTTGCTTGTAACAAGAGATCTGAGTACAGTGACCTCAATATATGCACAAGCAGGTTAGTACTTGTGGTTAAGATGGATTACACTGAATGCATGTGTAGCAGAACCAGGCAGCCTCTCCTGTGCGTTACGCTGTCCTTGTTCTGCATTTGACCCCAAATGGAGTGCTCGTTCTGTGTAACACTTAACCCAAGCTCTCCCTGAGGAACTCTGAATAACTGAATACACAAGCAGAGGCTCTGCACTGAGGGTTAAGGTAGCTGATGTGAACAGAGACTGTGTGTGTGTTTTCCCTTGCTGGAGAGAACCAGAGCGAGAGAGGAGGGGTGATGAATGAATATTTGATTGGCTCCTCTGTGCTGTAATATTGATGCGGTCCAGAGGCCTTGAGGTTGGCTATGTCTGGCTCCAAGGTACATTAACACACCGCTAGCGTACCTGGGCTCTACCTGACCTCCCAGTAGAGAAAACCAGTGTGGTATGAACATGATAATATGTATCTGTGAATGTGCATATAGTGTAAGACCATGTTTGGGTGTGTAACTGTCTTGCAGGATTAAAAATCATGTCATTTAATGGAAAATTTTATGAAAATAATCCAATGAAATGGTTCCTTAAACAGTTAAAAATGTTGTGCTGTCTCCTGCTTCACTCATACCATGGAAACAGAGAGTACATGTTTCTGATTGGTTGACACGTGTCTGTAAATATTATATGACAGTAAAAGTTCACACTTCGGGCCCCTGGTCCTGTGCCTGATAAGCCCATTCAGTAATCCATCCATGCTTCCCTCAGTGTGTGAATATGTGTACGTGTGTGAATCAGAGGCAAAATTGTAAAGTACTATATAAATCAGTCCCTACAGGATGATGGGGTTGCAACAGTCAAGGCAAACTGAGCCATTCAGGCAGCATTTTATCCAGTCACCACAATTTTACCGTAAATTTGACTATTTACAACAAGTAAAATATCATTTCATTGTCGAGCATATTGATTCGCTTAAACCCTCCTTCTCTCTATCTACCATGAGACTGCTGCTGTCGAGAATGAGCTCTGTGCTTGGAAGCCACACCCACAGTGACAGGGCTAACTGTTAGCATCACATGGTTAATGTTACCCAACAGGTTTAATGACAGAGTTGAGCTGTTTGGATGTGGGTGTGAGTTTGTTGGGACTGTTTAACAGCTCGGTTGTCAGATGTTAACCTAGGCCCGGCGCCAGGATGAAGTTACTGTTAGTGCAACATAGATTCACAGTGAGTTATAAAGAGTGCGCAGCCGTGCGTAATTGTCGCGTGTAATGACAGCTCGTCGCCCAATAAACTGCACTTCTTCTTTCATGTTTGTCTCATGACAGATGGAGCTTACAGACAGACAGACAGACAGACAGGTGGAGCAAGCAGCAAATTGGTATGAAAGCTGGTTCAGGGCATATTCGTCCATTTATGAATAAATATGGAGTGG